CCTGACTATAGCACAGAAAGATTTCTTATGGTACTGAGGAGATTTGTGTCGCTCAGAGGTTACCCTTCAAAGATCTACTCCGACAATGGCACACAGCTCGTAGCAGCAAGCAAGGAACTTCAGAGTGCTACGAAGTCATGGGACTGGGAGAAGTTAAAGGATTTTGGAGTTATGGAAGGCTTTGAATGGAACTTCACGCCAGCTGATGCACCATGGCAGAATGGAACTTCAGAATCTCTCATCAGATCAGTCAAAAGAGCACTTAGGGCTGCAATTGGAGAAAGTATCCTAACCTTTTCAGAGCTCCAAACAGTACTCTTTGAAGTTGCAAATTTGATCAACGAAAGACCTATCGGACGTCATCCAACGTCGCCCGATGACGGTTCCTATCTGTGTCCAAACGATCTGCTTTTAGGTCGATCCACAACAAGAGTACCAAATGGTCCCTTTAAAGAGTCTACGAATCCAAGACTTCGTTTTGAATTCATTCAAAACATGATAAATTGCTTCTGGAAGAAGTGGACTACAAACTATTTTCCAGAGCTAATAGTGCGTCAGAAATGGCATACAGCCCATCGCAATCTTAAACCAGGAGACGTTGTTTTGATACAAGATTCCAATTTAGTTAGAGGTCAGTGGCGCCTTGGAGTGGTTTCGAATACTTTCTCGGGTGCTGATGGAAAGGTGCGCAAAGTGGAAGTGCAATATAAAAATCCGAAGCAAGGTGAACCTGTAACAAGATACCAAGGAAGAGGATATGTCACAATCGAACGACCTGTTCACCGATTGGTAGTCCTTCTAGCTAAGGATGAAAACTCAGACATCTAAAACTGAATGTTTTGACACTCTTATTTATTACCGTTTTCATAATCTGAACTTATCAATTTTCACACCTCTTTTTGTGGAGGGGGAGTGTTTCGTTAAGAAATGATGTAAATGCCTTTTATCCGCTAATTAGATACGTCATAATGCTAATGTAATTACTTTCGTTAGATGTGAACGCAACCGAGTCACTGGGTAAATATTAACCGTTTCTTGTTCCCTGTTATCTCTATATTTCATTGCTTCATGTAACTTCCTTTTAGGTTTCGAACGCCTCTTTGTATTGTTCAACAATAAAGATGTTTGATATCAGTGAATTCAGAGTTACAGCTAACGAAACAAACACTATTTTTATAAATATTTTTAAAGTAAAAGCAAATACCACCTGATTTCCGTCCAGATGTTCTTGAACCTGTTTTGTAATTTTTTTGTGGGACAGTTGAAAAGCTTGAATAGTTTGGTATATTTTTGATATCTTCAGTCCATGTTTCCGTTATAGCAATGAAATCATGTTTTTTGATTACTTTAGTGAAGTCATCACTAGATAGATAGATAGATAGATAGATAGATAGATAGATAGATAGATAGATAGATAGATAGATAGATAGATAGATAGATAGATAGATAGATAGATAGATAGTATAACAAGCTTTATTGGCATGACCATTAATACAGGTATTGCTAAAGCATATAACAAAACATACAATATTAATTAAATATGACATTCACATTTTCGATCATTAAAACTAAGTTATTCGATATAACGGTAATTGAGATAATTATTGTTTACAATCGGTGTTCATAATGCTAATTAATATAATTTGTTTACAATCATTTTGCTATAGATAATTTGTTTTCTCTTAATTGCACACATTGATAAATATACTTTGACAGTTGTAATAGTACGGTTTGATCATCTGAATTAAACAAGATTTTTGTACAATTTTTCATTTCAATATCAGTTTTTGGAACTTTCAAGTTTACATTTTTGAAGAAATCATGGCGTAAATCATTGTACATTATACATTTATAAAGAAAATGCTCCTCTGACTCAATTAAGCTATTGTGACAAAAGATACAAAATCTTTGATTAGCTTGTATCTTTTGTTTTGAATAACGCCCAGTTTCAATAGCTAATTGGTGATTACTAATTCTTAATTTAGTAAAAAGCTTTTTATGTTCAAAATTTGAAACTAGTTGTAAATATTTTTCTTCTTCGCATTTCTTGTTAAATGATTTATAAAATTCTAATTTCGTTGATTTATCTATGGTATGCTTCCATAAATGTATATATTTAGTTTTCATTGTATTGTGAAATTCTTCAATTCTTGTTTTTGATAACGGCTTTAGTAAAGCTATTTGATGGTTGAGATCATAACCGTCCAGAATTTTAGATAGATTCATTAAATAACACGGTTTTTGCTTGTCATACAAATACTTAGACATAAGTAAAGCTTGCATTGTTATCGAGTTTTCGGGTAAGCTAAGAATATGATTCAAGTATTTCAAAATTAATCTCTCGATAAATATTCTTAAAGGAAATCTAGCTAGTTCAGCTCTACAGGTATTATTGGATGCTTTGCTGTTCACACCCAGAAAATACTTGCAGAATCGAAGCTTGCGAATAAAGCTTTCTCTCTTGCCTGTGATAAATGATTGGAGAAATTTCCAGTGGAACTAATGTTTACGCCTAAGTAGTTGTAATTTTGGGTAATTTCAAGTTCATTGTTGTTTAA